ATCCCAGCTCCTCCACCTCCTCTCCAGCTGCTCCCCACGTCTTGCCAAGCTCTGCCCCCCTCTCCCAGCCCCCAGGAGCCTCCGGCTCTTGCCTCCCCAGCAGGAGCTGGGGAAAAAGGGATGGGGAGGAAGAGGAGAAGGAGAAAGGAAGGAGGTTCAGGCCCCGTTTAGGTGTCGCGCACCCGTCCCAGGCTCCTGCCATCTCGGCTTTATTCAACCCTTCATAATGTCACTGATTTGAGATGTGGAAATTAAGGAATTAGTTACGCCTTGGAAAGTAACACCTGGGCCCAGCTGAGCTCAGGCTTCTCTTCGCAAGGTGTGAGGTGACTCAGCACAAAAGCAGGCCAGCTCTACAGCAATTAACAACAAATTACTTGGGTCTCTTTAGTCTGGAGAAGAGAAGGCTGAGGGGGGATCTGATCAAGGCCTCCAAATCCTTCCAGGGTGGGGGTCAGGAGGATGGGGCCAGGCTTTTTCCAGTGGTGCCCAGGGACAGGACAAGAGGGAACGGGCACAAACTGGAACAGGGGAAGTTCCATCTCAACATGAGGAGGAACTTGTTTGCTGTGAGGGTGGCAGAGCCCTGGCAGAGGTTGCCCAGAGAGGTGGTGGGGTCTCCATCTCCAGAGACATCCCAACCCCATCTGGACACGTTCCTGTGGGACCTGCTGTGGGTGACCCTGCTTGGGCCAGGCTTGGGACTGGGTGATCTCCACAGGTCTCTTCCCACCCCTGTGATTCCGTGATTTTTCCACCTCTGGGCTCTCCCCTCCCGCTCCTTCGTCCAGCAGAAGAAGAAATGGTGCCGTTACCTTTCGATACCTCTCTGAGACCCCTCTGTTCTTGAGATCAGCCACCAGCCCTGGCAGGCTGCTGCTGCTGTGGCGCTCGTAGTGCAGGGCGTAAAGCATCACCAGCCGCGCAGCGTCCAGCTCCGTCACCTTGGGGTTCTGCAGCAGGCGACGCACGTTCTGTGGCCAGACAGAGACAGTTATTAGCAGAGAGGCCTCTCAAAAAACCAGCTCCGTCACCTTGGGGTTCTGCAGCAGCCGACGCACGTTCTGCGGCCAGACAGAGAGTGTTATTAGCAGAGAGGCCTCTCAAAGGACATAAAAAAGACATTGAGGTGCTGGAGCGGGTCCAGAGAAGGGCGACAAAGCTGGTGAGGGGTCTGGAGAATAAGTCTGATGAGGAGAGGCTGAGGGAGCTGGGGGTGTTCAGCCTGGAGAAGAGGAGGCTGAGGGGAGACCTTCTTGCTCTCTCCAACTCCCTGAAAGGAGGGTGTAGAGAGGTGGGGGTCGGGCTCTTCTCTCAAGTCACAGGCGACAGGACAAGAGGAAATGGCCTCAAGTTGCCCCAGGGGAGGTTCAGGCTGGATATTTCACTGAATTTCCTGGGAGGGATGGTTTAGTGATGATGCTCCTTGTTTGTTGCGGGGGTGTCTATTTTTGTCAGTTGGGTTGACGGTTGGACAAGATGATCTTGAAGATCCCTTCCAACCTAGAAGATTCTGGGATTCTGTGACATGAAAGGCACCATCAGCAAGTTTGGGGACGATACCAAGCTGTGTGGTGTTGTGGATACACCAGAGGGACGGGATGGCATCCAAAAGGACTTGGCCAGGCTGGAGAGGTGGGCCCAGGTGAACCTCCTGAGGTTCAACAAGAGCAAATGCAAGGTTCTGCACCTGGGCCGGAACAATCCTGGCCACCAATACAAACTAGGGGGTGAGGGATTGGAAAGCAGCCCTGAGGAAAGGGACTTGGGGGTGCTGGTGGATGAGAAGCTGGACATGAGCAGGCAGTGGGCAGCTGGAGCCCAG